GAAAAACCATGTCCAAGGAAAAACGAAAAGCCAAGCAAAACCAAAGATGTTGTAGTTTTTGCAAAACAGCTCGAGTAAACACGAGGACCGTTCTGAAAAACAAAACACTTTGGTTTAAGCGAACCAAAAGCAAAGCTCCCTCTAAAAGGGATGCCGCGAAATGAAATCGAAAGTCTCCCAAAGCAAAGGGGGATAAATGTACCGTAAAACAAAGGACTCAAACATATCACATATATGAAAATATGAAATATTCAATCAACTCACGGAGACCCTCGCACTACACGCGGACCAGCCTTCGTTTTGACAGTGGTGGGAAGTCGCCGGTAAGTAAAGCAAATCAGCATAGATCATTACCGAGGACAGCTAACTTTAAGCCCCAACCGAAACTGCCACTGCCAAAACGAAGGTGAAAGGAACGCCGGTAACACGCCCCACATTTAAGTGAGACGAGAACCGCGTTTTGGAAAAGACACGAGTAGAGGACTGACTACAAGCAGCATAGCTCCAGCTCAGCGTGGGAGCTTCCAAAGGATTCTGGCATCCGAAGGAAAAAGTCTGACATCATGCCGTTGGTCGAAGAAATCTTGAACGGAAAAGCGATACCGCATATCAAGATTCCAACGCTCTCCGAGAAGGGCCTTCTCATCCCAGCGGGAAAGCAGGTCTGCGTCTATATTCCGCTCGCCAGAAATGTGTTGAACGTCCAGCCGAATGCCCAGACGTGTGCTGACCATCGCCACCAGCTGTGCAAAAAAGCAAAGCGGAGTCTTGGTCGTCAGAAGCTTCGCGCAAACTGCTTCTGCGCCTGTGTTATCCGAAAAAGATGGCAGTGTCAGTCGCATTCGCCCACCAGGACAGAAGTGAGCAAAAAGAAGCATCAGGCCCACTTGAGCCAATGTTTCCCAGCAAGATATGTCCCTCTGAGCATCGCGATGAAGAGGCAGATCAAGGTACTTGAAGTCCGACAAGCTGTACCTTTCGCTGAACCATATCGGTGATGAGCCCGGGAACTCGATGAAGCCGCCGATGCCAAGCTCCTCGCCCGAAGCAAAAGCGTCCGCCGCCATGATGCAATCCAGGCGACGCGGAGGCAAATGAAGACACTCATGAAAGTGATAAGACTGGCTCCAATCATACCAGAAATACAGTAGCTTCCGACTCAGTTTGGAGAGCCGACGGAAGCGTGCCAGTGGGTCTGCAATGCGGAGCCAAATCCTTTTAGAGGTCAAAGGAACCTTCCGCAGATCAGCCTTGCATGCGATGTCGACGTGGCGAGCGCTTACCAGCTTGGAACCCAAAGGAATGGCTGTGCCAGGAGGGACGGTGATGAAGACCAAGGCATCGCTCAAACACGCGTGCAGCTGAGTCCAGAAAGCAGGGTCGATGGAGTAAGATGTAGCTGGGGGACGAGTGGCATCGTCGTACAAAACTGACAACCAAGGACGCAGCTCCACGTGTAATTGAGTGAGCCACTGAAGCAATCCCAGCGCCTTCTGAAGGTCTCGAAGCTCCACTCTGCCCTCTCCCAAAAGAGGACGAAGAACGCGTGCGAGTTTCTCCTTTTTTGTTGCAGTAACCTGAACCGTCCCTGCACGGTAGTTCAAGCTCCAGCCTATCCAGACCACCGATGAACCCAGTTGTAATTTGGGCCATGAGAGGCGAACCCCGAAGGCTGCAGCAAACGCCAGGATCAAGCACGCCGAAATGTCCAAGGCCCCAGTCTGCATTGCCAAGATGAGGTCGTCGACGTAAATACTCAGGAAGTGGCTCAACCATAGAAGGTTGTGCCACGTCCGTACCAGGAAGCCCGATAACCGCTGCCACCAGTATGCACTGCAAGACATGCCGAACGGCATGACCCTGTAGAAGAAGGTCCTGTCCTGAAAAGTAATGCCAGCGAGACCTCTGCCCCGCTCGCGCAAAAGAATGGACTTATGAGCTGCCTTGACGTCCAGGGAAAAAACCCCTAGGATCGAAGCCGGACCCCGAAGTGGATAACCCGCCTGGAGGTCTGAAAGGCCTGGAAGATTGTAACGCTCAGGGATGCAGCATGATGGGTTGACGCCTGAAATCGTCTCGTCCACTGTGAGACGAGGGTTCTTGTCCGGGACTATCACCACATTTAATTTTCCCACTGCAACATGCTCCCAGCGACACCGAGCCTCCTCTAGAGAGACCTCCTCGATGTAGTCATTCGCCAGCTCCTCCTGGATCAAAGATTCCAAAACCTCCGGGTTGTCCCGGGCACCTTTCCAGTTGGAATTGTGAACCACCAGCTGATCTGTCGGAGGCGCTGAATCGCTTCCCAGAGGAATGAAAACCCGACTGGGAGGAATGTCCTGAAAGTACCCTGAAGGGGCGCCCTCCAACAACGTTGGGAACAAAGAGGAATCGGGGTCATCAAGAACTTCCGAAAGTTGACGCAATGCTTGAAGAGCGTATGGTTGGTGAGGTTTCACCGACCAGTCCACCCTTTGACCGGACGATGCTTCCAAGAATTCCTGAAAAACCGCCCGAAACTCTGAAACCTCCTGGTCCGAGAACAGAGGCTGTTCAGCCTTGGAGGCCACATGCTCGCGAAGCCGAAGAGGAGCCTTCATCGCAAAGAGCTTGGACATAAGGGCCTGTCTGACTTGGCCCAGCTTGTCCACTGCGCCCGAAGGAGGGAAAGACCAGTCTGGAACCGAAAAGATGCCAGCCCCGTCTTGATGTGCAAACGGGGGATCAAATTGACCTTTGGTCGGTAATAATTGCAAGAGTTGGTCCAGGGATACATCCACCGGATGCTCGGACTTCTGAAAAAGAGGGAGAGCCGAGGATACGTACTTCGCCGCCAGGAGCTCCGGAAATTCCGAAGTCTGCTGAGAGATGAAGCCGCCGGATGAATCCAAAACACCAGCAACCTGGGCATGAGACCCGTCCGGGTGGCGACAATCAGCGGCGAGCTGCTGCATGTCCCGGAAAGTGGAAGCAAAAGCCCAGCGCTTGTAAATATCCCAACCGTATGCACAGGCCGAGACGATGATGACATCTGCACTGCTCTTCTGAAGTAGCAGGCGAACCGCGGGCTCATCCCAGATCATCGAGTTGGCCGGATTCTCAAAGGTGTAATGGCCGCCGGCCTTGAAAGTGGCGTGGGCTAATTCCACTGCGCGAGACATGAGTCGAGATGAACCCGAAAAAAGCTCAACGAAGAGATTGCCCTGAACATGTTGTAGCTCCAAAATCTCTGGAGGGCTCGGCAACGCGGGAGCCGGCCCCGACACTGGGGTACGCGGTGAATCCTCCTTGGCCGGCATTGGAAAATGAAGGTCCGCCAGACGCTTCGAATCCACTCCCGACAATGATTGCCAGGTAGCAGAAGTGTAGGCTGTGATCACCCAGCGATCCCCTGACCACGGCTCTGAACAGTGCTGAAGACGACCATCAAAGGAAAAGCCAGAGCGCCTAGTACTGACCAGAACCCCTCGGAGTGAAGAATCCGCCGTAGAGTCAGGAGGAGGAACACGCTCAAGATGCGGAAGACATTCCGACGGGAGTTGAACCCAAAGTCGACCCTGGTCAAATGGGCCCAAGCTGCAGGTGTAATTCAAAGATCCTGGAAAATTGATGTCCGAGTGAAGATGCGCAAATTCGTTGTGTGAAATGCAGAAGCTCGTCCATGTCGCCTCCGAAAAGATCGTCCGAAGAAAAAGGTTCACGTACTTGACCAAAAGCTCATGTTGAAAAGTAAAATTGCATATCCCACTTTGTGATCCCGCGCGGGCCCCGGCGTTGAAATAGCTCGCCTGAGAACGTCCAGCCTCGAGAACGTGAGATCGAAGAAGAGGGGCCGACAGGGGACAGTGTTGTTGAAGAACCCGAAGGCAAGTGTCCCAATCGAACTGCTCAGCAGCATCTGAACTGCACAAAGTCACAGCATCAGGGCGACCTGTGCGAACATCAGAATCGTCCGAGAGTCAGTGGCCAGCAGCCTTGTGCTGGTAAGCCGGGTGTTTGCCAAGGCATGGGCGGCCATCCGGGCGAGGAACAGGACACAAATGCTCGAATTTGCAATCCGGAAAAGAGCAGCCCTTCTGTGAAGAAAAATCCCTGCATAGGAAGCGGGTCTTGCCCTTGTCCTCAAACTTCGTCACCCATTTGGCTCCCCCTGTCGAAGATTGAAGGCCCTGGCCGCCCGACGAATGCTTCCCTTTGCCTTCCCCCTTATGCTTGCCCTTGCCGCCCCGGCCGGTAC